AGGGCAAAGAAAGCATATAGGGAGATTCTGGCAAAGGGCTGGATTGGAGTAGACCCACAGGAAGTAATGGAAGTTATGGAAAAGTTGCTCAGAAGAGATCACGTGAAAAATGTGCAGCCTGACAAGTCACCAAAAGCTTATGGAGTACAAGAGAAGAATGAGGGAAAGAACCTGTTCTATGGGGGCACAGAGAGCAGGGGAGATTTATTTCCAGTCCTTTCATTTTCATAAGTATAGCTAACAATTCTGGGTTCCCTGCAGAGCTGTCACATGCTAGCATATTGGTTTCTGATCTAACAAAATATACTTTTAGAGACTTAGATGGCTTTTGGTATGCTCACTAGAAAGAGAAAGCAGAACATGTCCAACTTCAGTCCAACTTGTCCTAGCAACATCTCTAAATTGGAGGAAATGCTAAACTGACCAGGAAGGACAGGATAGGGATTATATCTATTAAAAAAACTCTCTTTGTGTTGGTGGATTCCATAACTATTTACATATTAATTTCTGAGAATATACATTTTTCAGTGCTTTTAAATAAAGCTAACTCTTGTAAAAACCAGCAAGTTTTGACATTTTCTGAGATTATATTTTATCTTGAAATAGAAAGAAAGGCAAATCCTTTTTTCATCAGAAACTGTTATGAAAAATGGCTGACATTATTATTCAGGGTTTGGAAGCTTCCCATCAAGTGTTACCCAGGCCCAGTCCTATTTTGCTTGTGAGTGACAAGAATTTAGCTCACCACTGTTCAAAACCTTGAATTATCTGAATTTATTACTACACTCTGTGGTAAAATGAAGCAGAGCTCTCTTTTTGCATATGCTTTATTGGGAGAATAGCAAGCATGCTGGAAGATTTCTGCACCACACGGTAGAGTGAACATCCATAGAAATGGAAGCACTGTAACTACCTACATGGTGACAAGAAGGGCTACTGAGCAAATGCCCAGCAGAACTATCAGCCTGGCTATGCCACTTTTGGGACTCAGTTTAGTGGGTATCCAGAACACTTTGCTGACACAAAATGCTTCCATGCCACATTGAACCAGAGGAAGATCAAAATGGGTGCAGACTCTGCGGTTATGCCTTGCTCCCTTACCTTCTTTTTTCTTTCCCTGCCTTTAAAACTAAGACAATAGGAGTTGGAGACAGTTCTTGGGAGAATGCTAACAGGCTAATAGGGTCATAATATAAGATAACACTTCCTCCTAATAATATATTTCTGTTCTACAGAGATAAAAACAATCCCTGTTCCACCATAAGAGAAGGTTGTGAAAGTCATTTCAGAAACATAAATAAATCAAACTTTTCAGGACTTTTAGCATATGCATTCTTCTTCCATAAAATAAGTCTAAAGATCATGTTTATAGCAGCATGTATGAGAAAAGAAGCAAATCAAGGAAGAAAGTTCACAATTCATATTTGCGTTAATGCCACTTACCTGCACTCTAGCAATGAAAGAGTTCAGTAAAGTCAAAACAATTTAAACTTTTATGTTTATAAGGCCTCTGTACAAAAGTAGGAGGATGTGTATAAGGGTAGGATAAATAAGATTTTTTACAAATTAATCTACCATCTATGGAAAAGCTCTTGCCTTAGCAAAAGCCTTCTGAATTGATAACAAGATACAGGGGTTTTCATAATCCTTCTACGAATTTCTTGTAAACATAAAATTGTGCTTAAACTTGATTCAGCACATTTTAAGCTGACTGATGTGGCTTCTTATTTGAAGTCAATGGTACTTGATTCATTCAGAGGAGAATATGACAGAAAGGCACAGCAAAAAGCACCACTTTCACTGCCTCTTTCTCTACAGCCTTGAAGTGTGCAAGCTGTTATCTTGGGGAACTTGAGCATTACAATGAGTTGCTTTAGGAGATGCTGAGTTGAAATGCAAGTAAAATGATGTTGCTTTAAAATGCAAATAAAAGTGTACACACTTAAATTTGCACAACACTGTCATTCTTGCTCAACATTTGCACACATTATCCAAAAAACCCCCATCTCCAACACACAAGCTGTTTGAATGTTAAGGTTTGCTTAGTCATTTTCAGATGAGGTAAGCCACACTGTGCGTGACTCGGAGCTCTGAGACTCTTGGCAATGTTAAACTAGGAGAGGAAACACTTTGTTCTGCAATTTTCAGAGACATTCATTGAACTCATCCAGAAACTCTCATGAGACAAAAGGCTTCCTTCAGTTCCACTCCTGGTAAAATCATCTGAGTTTAAGACACACACCTCACATTCTCTTGAAATGCCATTAAGCAGAAAAATACACTGTCAACAGTTGAAGCGTATTCACCCAAAGGATACTTTATCTACAAAATGAAAGCTCAAAAACCTTTAAAGGAATATGTAAGAAGTGAAAATGCAGTGAACTGTCTTCATTTTGCAAGTTGGAAATCATTTCCCGAGAACACAGTCAAACAGAAGCAAATGTGTTTGACCTGGAATGATTCATTCACCTAGATTCAAGAAGATAATGAGATTTCAGACAATATTATTAAGATAAAACCAACTGTAGTTTTCTCAAATAGGCCAATGATTTGACTAATGATTTAAAGCTGATGCTCATTAAGACCATTTCTAATAGCATTGTGAATGTTCAGGAACTGGGCTTCACATTGTGCTAGACAACAGTTTCAGATCTGGGTAGGCGGTAGTGGAACAACAGTCAGGTCTGGTACCTTGGAGGAAGACTGACAAAGGTTTGACTAATCACACAAAAATTAGACCTTCTAATCCTTTGTATATCCAGCTGAATTTTCAATTGCTGCTTTAGTATATCTGTTGAAAAGTTTGTGGAGGGGTTTAAAATTTTTGGAATAACTTGTGAAAAACTTATTTTTCAGCACAAATCATTTTTGTTAACTTCTGTTGTCCATCCAGATTAATGCATGGTTTGAAAGTAGTACTCTGATTTTTTCCTCACACACACCTTTCAGAATGCCACTGAAACTATTACTCAGCCCAAGGAAAGAACAATGCGGGTTCCACCACAGACAGAGAGAACTGAGACATCAGTGTTTTGTGGTCCCAAAAGTTAACAGTGACCTATTAAAGGAGGAAGTGAGTGAGGTGGTAAATGGAGGCTTGCTTGGATGACAGCTGTGGGTATTATTCCTATTAACTCATTAACTGTTGCACCTAGGAGATTTTGAAAAAGAAAGATTATTTACTGGTAACAAGTCTTCTTCAGGTGGTTATTTAAACATGTATGTACACTGTGAATTTTGAGGGTTGTTTGTTTTAATTTCAGCAGGAGCCAAAGGACACAAAAGTCCCGTTCCTTCACCTCCTCTTCACGCTGGTTTACAACCTGCGCCTCATACTTTTGTTTTCTCTGTCTCACAAGTGCCTCACAAAGGAGGGTGGGCTACCTGTGAAAGTGTAGGCAACAGTAATGCACATACAAGCAACTCATCTTGAAGAACAGTTACAGGTAACTTTCCTCTCATCCTGGAATGCTCACCCACAGGTACCTTAGCTGCAAACAAAACCCATCACAAAATACTTTCTTAAAGGAAATGGTCCCAATGTGAGTAATTGAAACAAAGCAAAAGAACCAACTGTCCTAAAGGTGGCATCATGCTGAGAGGCTTCAATGGTCAAGGAAATAGTGAAATGAATCTTGGGCTAGAAACTTGACCCTTGGATATGTCAGTTGAAGACACAGGCAGATGAGGTGTCCCAAATCTGGTCAATACAAAGAATGCAAGCATAACTTATGTTCAATATGTGAAAAAAATAATCCATCCTGAAAGCTTATGGAAGAAGAAATGCCAGGCAAATTAGTTTCTTGGCTAAAAAGAAATTCAGGGACCCATAAGAAAATGAAAAGCAATCCTGAGGTGCGACTTATCTTGAACAAACACAATACACAGAATAGCCATAATAGTGGTCTGGCTCTCCACCTCTAAAAAACCAGTGTGATAACTACCAAAAAGAATGAGAGGACTAGGTCCAAACTTTTCATCTGGTGGCTTCAAATGCGTAGTTCATGGATCCAGAAAAAAAGTATTTCCTGTCTCCCAGCAACAGTCATCTTTTAAAATGTAAAAGAAGAGTCAGTGTCTAGAAAGAAAAAAAAAAAGAGTGTTTCCCAGCAATTGCAAAACTGAATTCAAGAACAAGCCATACTCAACGTCAACACATGTTAACACATCAACTGAATAAGGTTCCTCTGTTATTTCAGCCTATCAAGCAAGAGGCACAAGGATATGGGCACATTTTACACCTTCATAGTTGTGTGTCTGGCACAAAGATGGGTAAGACTTACATTAATGTTGTATGGGAACTGCTGCAGTAAAAACAGTACAGCCACAGTGTGAATGCATATGTACACATTACGTACACTCATAGTGTAAATGTGTATGTTCACAAAGATTCTGAAGATGAAAAGACATCCCTGAGACACAAGACAAAATCCTTTCTCTGCACAAAGCTCCTCCACTGTTATTTGTGCTTTTTTTTATGTCTAAGAGGTGTAGAAAATGCTTTGGCCACAGTTTTGGATTTTGTATGAATGCAGAAGTAAAAGCTGTTTACTCTGCTGGTCGCAACAATGTGGCCAAATGCAATAGTCACATTTCTATTTTTTCCATTTTCTGTTAGTGGCAACCGCCCTGTGAGCAACCCAAAGGAGTTGCAAATCTGAAGAATTTGCCAATAGAGGCAGATTTCAGATGACAAACTGTCCAAGGTAATGGGAAGGATTAGGGTCCTCCTTCAATATCCAGTCTTATCCACTAGGAGGAATGCCAGTGGGAAATTTGTTGATGGTATTCAGAGGGTAGGCTGTGACAGGCCACTGGCTCCATAATCCACAGTTCTAGTATGAGATGACAGACAATTTGCAGATGAGCACAGACACGGTTCATGCTGGCATGTACCATTGCAGACATTGCCCTGTGAAGCACTGACCTCAACTTCAGGACTATGAGTGACACCCCTAAGCACCATCTCACATGTTCTTCTCCCTCCTTCTCTCCTTCAGGGAACAACGAAGTGTCAGTGACCATAGGTGACAGCTCAGTGCTCGCCTGCCCTCTCAAACCAAATATAAATATGCTAACATGGAAAATATATCCCAAGGTTGGAGGCCCCTGCAACTTGGGCTACAGGGCTGATACGAACACGACAGACAGAACAAACTGCAGTGACAGCATGAACTGGAAATTCAGACCAGATCTGGGTCCTGTGCTTGAGATACAGCAAGTGGGGATAGCCCAGGAGGGAAATTACATCTGTGAAGTTGTAACACCAGAAGGGAATTTCCACAGGACATACCACCTGACTGTGCTGGGTAAGGAACTCCTTCCCTGTTTACAGTTCTCCAAAGGACCATGTCTGGGCCTGGACATACAAAGCTCCTCTCCTGAGGCACTGGGGAAACATGGAGTAAAAAAATTGAGCTTCTTTTTTTTTTTTAATCAAAGAGGGTAGCTTTAAACTAGATATTAGTAAAAAATTCTATACTGAGAGGGTGGTGAGTCACTGAAACAGGCTGCCCAGGAAAGTTGTAGATGCCCCATCTCTGGAAGTTCAAGGCCAGGCTGGATGGAACTCTGAGCAACCTGGTCTAGTGAAAGGCATCCCTGACCATGGCAAGGGCACTAGAACTAGATGATCTTTAAAGTCCCTTCAAAGCCGTGATTCTTGTTGGATAAACTGCCATGCATATCATTGATAATGTCTCTGGGTCTCCCTTCTCCTTATTTCCCAAAACTCTGCTCCCTTCTGTGGTCATGTTTTCCACTGCCTAGTTAGAAACAATAGCTGTGAAGCAATTTCCCATATCCTAACAGCGGATATGGAGAATGGCTGTGGTAAGGCTCACCTGAATGTGGGAAAGTTGTCCAAAAGGAAAAAAGAGACAAGATCTTTGTCTCTTGTGAGTTGGATCCATGTTGTTGTCATGGAATGACACCTCCAACCTCATTCTCCTCTTTTCACTGCTTTCATTTTGGGTAGAGAACAAGAACATCCTGTCCCAGCTGCAGGAAACTAACTCCATGCTTCTCCCCTTCCTGGTGCTTTGCAGTGCCCCCGAGGCTGAGCCTCTTCTGTGATGAGCACGGGAAGCCCGTGTGCGAGGCAGCGGCAGGGAAGCCGCCTGCTCAGGTCTCGTGGCTCCTAGAGAACAACTCCTCCCTTGAGGAAGAAAGCCATGACGATGGGACAGTGACTGTTCTCAGCAGGTTGACAGCATGTGACACCAACGTGACTGACACAACCTGCGTGGTGTTCCACCCAGCTGGGAGCTGGAGTGAGTCCATAGCCTGTTGTCCCTCAGGTAAGCTTCCCTTTGTGCATTTGCTGTTCAAAGGCCTATTCAGCTTGTTCAACTCTCATTACTTCTAGGAAGGAAAATCTACAAAAGGTACAGAAAGCTTCAGTGAAGTCCTATAAAGACAAGAGTACCATCCCCAACTGCCTTTGACCAGAAACAGCACCACTCCTTTGTGTTCTAGACACTATTTCCTAGGAGTTTCTTCTCTAAGAGGGATACACATAAGTGTCATAGCATTCTTTTGGTAGTGAAAACATTGTTGGAAACAGAGACAAAGCAGTCATAACCAACCGGAAGTGGAACATCAGCAAGGTTTTTTTCAGATGCAAATTTAAATGTCATGGTAAGAGAGAGAAGCAGAACCAACTCTAGTGTGGCCAGCAGAAAAAAGTAAATCACTTTGTTCTGAATTGTGAATATCTGACACTATGACCTCTGGTTTCTGGTTTTTGCTTTTTTGTTGCTTTTGAGAACTATGCACGAGTTGCAGTGCTGAGAAATACTGAATCCTTGAGAGGGGCTCAGGTGTGGCTTAGTGAAAAAATATCATGAGTGTCCACTGTGGGATTTGTGGGATCTGCTTTTGTCTCTGACACAGACTCCATTTGTGTTTCATTGCTGACTTTGCCTTCTGCTGAAGGACATTATATTTCTCTTACAAGCATGCTGAAACTGTGTGTATGTGCTAAAGCAAATTTAATCTTATACTGAAATAATACAGAAAATGAGTAGTAAGAAGATATAACTCAAACTAACTCTTTGTGTTTAGACAAAAAGAACTCTATCCTGTATGTCTCCATTACCCTTTGTCTTCTGAGCATTATGACCTTCATGGCTGTCATTTACTACATCAAGCTCCACAGTAACAGGTACGTATAATAGGGTGCAAAGAAAAAATCATGTAGTGCTAGAAGAAATTTTAAAGTACTCTTTGTGTCTTGAAATCACATGATTCTGTCAGTCTGTGCTGCCATGGATAACTGAATTAACTTCATCAAATATTTCTATACTGCAGACACTGTGCATTGCATACACCTTCACTGAATAATGCTAAGAAAGCATCCTAAATGAGAAAGTCAGGATGCTATAATTTCAGGATCTAAAGTCAGGGAGAGAGAGACATGAGATGGCTTTACTCCTGAAGACAAGAAAAAGAAACTTTTCATATGCTTCTGGCCAAAGAAACCAATCTGTGATCCAGCCAAACACAGGACTAAGGAAGGAATTTCTTTAACACTTGCTTTCTTTTTCACAGACTGTGCCACAAAACCACACCTCCTGAAACTGATCCTATACAGGTAAGGAGAATTATGCAGATTAGACATCACCAGATCAGGGATCTTCTGGTAGTCCTGAAAGCATAATCAATAAAGAGAAAACAATAGATTTTTCACTCTGTGCTTTAAGCAGGTATTATTGTGTCCTATATGTTTGTTCTTAGCTGTTTATAGGACAAAACAAAGCTTAATTTTACCATAATTTTGACTTGGAGCACTAGAGGCATGTTCCAACAGCAAACACTCAGCTACTGCCCTTCTTTATCTTAGCAAGGAGTGATGCCCACCACATCTTCCTGATTATATCAGACACACCAACCACGACTCCTGTCCAAGCAGTAAGGAGGAAGGGAGGCAATAACATGGGTTGGGGAATATTAAGGAAACTATTAGTAAACAAGAAGATTAAACAACCAAATTAACAGACAGAAGGAGAAAAGGAATGTCCCTCTTCATGTCCAGAATGATAATGTGTGAGTTTTGAAGGCCCCTCTTTATCTAGTATGGTCAATCCACAATCAATAACCCAACCAGACTCAAGACAAAACATTTTATTAAACAATGGAAGGAATGCTGAGCTGCAAACTGGGAGAAACTACTGAATTCCCTATGCTGTTAGAAGCTTCCTGTGCAGCTGAGCAATTCACTCATCAGTGATGCCTCTCTATTCTCTGCTGCCAAATCCAAATAAAAGCATCTCTGTGCAGACAAGATGTGTTACAACTATATTGTATCTGTGCATCTAAAGTAGACTCTAGGCTCAAATTCTGTCATCAACTTAAAAAGACGCTTCGGCTTCTGAAAAGACTTAGCCAATTCTAGTTATTACTATTCCTGCTGTTCTGCTGCCCTACCTCCAAGTTGTTGCTGACAGATGCAGTTGCGTTAAAGCAAAATGATGGTTTAAGTACCAGTGTTCTTGCCGTCACATCACATAACTTTTATTACTGTGTCTGTAGACTAAAATTGTATACTGATGGAGGAATCAATTGTAGTCAAGACTTTAGCATATTATTTGCTCTTTCTAGAGAATTAGACCTTAACACAACTTTTTTTTCAGGCAAAAAAATAAGTGGTGTAGAAGGGAAGGAAAAAAAGGCAAGTGAACCAATATCTCAGCTTTACCCTCCAAATCTTTGCCAGAAAAAGCAACACATATTCTTTGATAGAAAAAGCAATAGAGGAGTCTTTTTCTTGAGTTGAAGAGGAATAAAAACAAGAGCACTACTTTCCAGTTATTTTCGTCAGTTCATATCAAAGGCTTGCTGAGTTTTGCCAAACTAAACTACTCCTTGCATTCACAGTTTTTGGTTTTGTTTTGCTAGAATGACACGATGGAAGTGGAACCTTATACTACTTACGTGCAGAAGGAAAACGTAATTTACAACTCAGTGTCTGATCTGACAGTGGGGCAGAATCTTCCACAAGAACTGTGTCCCGAAACATGAACAATTCAACAACACTGGAAAAGGAAAGACATACTTTATAAAAGACTGGTTATATAGAGAAACTTCTCAGAGGATTTCTTCAGATTTTGGGGCAGCATAGCTCACTAGGTCTGTTCAGACACCTGTGCTTGCTGATGAGTCAGTATAGGTCTATTTTTTTCTCCCTGTTTTGCTTTCCTCCTTGGGAAGGGAAACAGTGATATTCCTTGCAAAAATGGACTGACCCCATAACACAGTTTTTCCTGGAATAGATGTTGCGACCAGTGCTCCCTTTACTGTTTTTGCCCTGGAGGTTCTAGTTTTGTCAGTCACTTCTAAATGTAACTTTGATACACTTGACACTCTGATGCACACATTTGGGAGACCAGAGGAGCGTTATTTCTGAACTAAAATGAAACACTCTTCAATCAGCAGCCATCTTTTTCTAATTCACACTTTACTAACATAGTGACCCAAGTACCGATCATCACTGAATACCTCAAATAGCAGAAGATATTGATAGGGAAGACCCAGTTCTGAAAATGGAAATGAGTGATAAATTCAGAAGATCATTCACTAAGAAAGATTCTTCACTAACATGACTAATTTACTTGTTAGTTTCATATTCAATAACTCAGGATACCATTATAGGATGCCATCCAGAGGAACCTGGACAAGCTGGAGAAGTGGGCCAATGGGAATTTCACAAGGTTTAACAAGACCAAGTGCAAGGTGCTGCAAATGGGTTGGGGCAACCCATGGTATCAATCCAGGCTAGGGGATGAACAGATCAAGAGCAGCCCTGCTGAGAAGGACTGGGGTGTGATGATGGATGAGAGGCTGGACCTGACCTGGCAATGTGTGCTCACAGCCCAGAAAGCCAAATGTGTCCTGGGCTGCTTCAAAAGCGGCGTGGCCGGTAGATGGAATGAGGTTCTGTCATTCTGCTCTGCTCTGTGAGACCCTATCTGAAATACTGCTTCCAGCTCTGGTGTCTCCTACACAAGAAAGACATGGGCATGTCAGAGCAGGTCCAGAGGAGGGCCACAAAGGTGGTTAGAGGGATGGAGAACCTGTCGTATGAGGAAAGCTTGAAAGAATTGGGATTGTTCAGCCTGGAAAAGAGAAGGCTTAGCGGTGACCTAATTGTGGCCTTCCAGTACCTGAAGGGAGTCTACAAGGAAAATGGAGAGGGATTTTCTACAAGGGCATGTGGTGACAGGACAAAGGGGAATGCCTTTAAACTAAAAAAGACTAGGTTTAGATTAGATATTAGAAGAAAATTCTTTACTGTGAGGGTGGTGAGACACTGGAACAGGCTGCCCAGAGAAGTTGTGGGTACCCCATCCGTGGCAGTGTTCAAGGCCAGACTGGATGGGACTTTGAGCAACCTGATCTAGTGGAAGGTGTCCCTGCCCTTGGCAGAGGGGTTGAAACTAGATGATCCTGAAGGGCTCTTCTAATGCAAACCATTCTATGATTCCATGATTCCATGATTTCCACTAAATATGTTAATTCTGTATTTCAGATAATTTTGATTACTTTTTCATAAGATACTCTGAAGATATGGCATTTCTCTCTTTCTTAAGAGTATTAGCATTAAGATACTGTAAAATAATTATGTTACTCAAATCTCATAGGCTACTTTTATTAGAAGCAAATATAAAATATTTCACAAAACAAGTTAAAATATATTTTCTATAAGAGTGCAATTATGTACAAAATGGATAAAATGCTTGCTAATTCTAGTCATACTTATTTTAACTACCACAACTGAAGATTTTTTCGTTCTTATGTCTAGATGTTTTATTGATATTCTTTTAAATGTACTTGCAAGTTCACTTTTTTCTATGTAAATTAGCTTACATATCTTAATGCATCTCATATTGAGGTGACTTCTTCTCACCTTCCCAAAATATCCTTTGGGAATAAGTAAAATAAATTATCCTCTATATAATAGAAGTTCTCAAACTTTTTGGACTGATACCTTTCCAGCTAAAGTATGAACAGGCTTTACAGTAAGAGCAAAGGAATACATTTGTAAATCTCTCTTTACTACCTCTTACTTCAGTATTTTTGAAGACTGACTGGGTACTTGGTCTGATTGTAGCATCAGAAGAACTAGATTTTTCCTTTAGATCACAGAAATGTCTTTTGCCAAACATTTCTTTTGATCTAAGCTCCCAAGGACCATGACATAGTGTTTACAAAACAGACTTCTAAATTGATTACAGTTCCTAATTGTAAACCTATGTTATTAATGTAAACCAGTACAGCTGGTTATTTATTCTCTCTCTAGCAGCTATGAAACAGCCACTTTTGTCCAGGTGCTCTCTGCATGCAAGTATTGCTTTCCTCCATTTCTGCATGTCATTTTAGAGTGCAAGGGATCAAAGCTGAATATCAAGCAGCTACAAACAAGTTTTAAAGGAACCTCAGTGTCCAGTGACTTACTAAGGAAGAGAGCCAGTCAACTCAGCCATAATACTCTGAATTTCTCCCCCGAAACAGAGTGCCATCACTTCTTAAGACTTTTTTCCGTGGACCGGAAAGTGGCTTATGTTGTTCAGTGTCCATAAATGGGGTTCATGCTATGACAAATCAGCTCTTGAAGGTAGATTATTGCCAGTTTATATGCGATATATTATGTTTACAGAAGTATATTACCTGCTAACCTGCTGTCTAGCTGTAGGGTTTTATGATCCTTTACAGGGCAATTTCACTGGGCTTAATCATGTAAGTTCCAGACCTGGACATTGCTAAGTAGCTAACTGGTTGATTATTTTCTTTGCCCCCATTCAGACCTGCTATGGGCAGAAAAAAAGATTTTACTTTGGGATTGTGATAAATAATGTGAGTTAAGAGTCTTATGTATACACATGTATACAAATACACTCTTTGTACGCAGCAGCACGCAAGGTATAAAGCAGAAAGTCCCTTCCTGCACTCCTCTTTCTCCATCAGGGCACTTGCTACTCCTCTTTGCACTGTGCTGCTATTGTGCTGCAGACATCCTCCACACAAAAGTGCTGTGTTGACTGTTTCTTAGCAGTCAGGCAAGCCTGCCCTCTAAACTCCCCAGGATGTTGCAAAGTCACAGGAAGAAAGTCAGCAACTTTTCAGTTCATCCCGTAAAGAAAGGGTTTGGCTTTAACCACATTTACCAATGCTATCTCTTGCTGCAACATTTAATTTTGGTAAATTTGCATCTCCCACCTTTGCTGCTATATTTTACCCTGACACACACATTCCAGTCTCTTGACAGTTTACAACTGTTCTAATCAGGCAGTTAATAAATATAGTTATCTTATGACTATAGACAGTCCCAAGCACCGAGCTCACATGCCCAGCACGCCAGCAGATGTTGTGCACCCACAGAGCAGCTGCTCACCTAATCTTTAGGATGGCACTGGAGTACTAAAAAGTGGATGCATTACAAATCCTGAGACTGAGCATAGTTTCTGTATATGCATCAATACTTGGGCATCTCTAACTGCAAATTATTTAATGGGAACAAAGTCAAGCCCTTCATCCCCCATCACAGTGAGATGTAAGATTTGTTTACACTGTAAATATTAGCAGAAAGGTTATTATATCATCACTTACCTCCTTCAAAAAGCCTTCCTAGTAATAGAATCCATTAAAAGTGGTGTTTCAGGTATTACCCTATCTCTGCATCCCAACAAGTTTCAGGATTTACGACGACATTATCCTGCCAACATCACCTATTCTTATTTGTGGTTTATTACTTACAGTCTAGTTTGTAACCCTGTATCCATCACAGACCTTTTGGTTCAGTGTGTGACTGCAGTTCTGCCCAGCTTACTTCCAGTTATGAATTAAAATTACTTCAGTATCCTCTGTTTTCATCCTATTTGCTATAGAAATTTAAGTTTTCACATTAGAGCTGTATGACTTTCTCAGGAGCATTGATATAGCTACCTGCCTCTAGATATCCCAGGGATTTCTTCACACAAATCTAAAGAATGAGCGTATTTTCTTATACAAATCTGAAGAATGAGCGTATTGGCAAGAGAATGCTAAATATTTTTTTTAAAAAAACCAAATTTATTAAAAAAATTTAAAAAAATCTGAAATCTTTATAAACAGAGTAAAAACTGATTCATATTTAACTGGGAGGGAAAGAAAACTGTGCAGTGCATTTAGTCATAACTAGAAAGGAAATTCAAAAAATACATTTACACGGAATTTATGCAGTCAGATCAAAACCTATTCACAGAAAATATTAAACAAAGAATTTTCTCTGCTAAATATATTTCACTAATGAATATATAAAAAAGGCTTTCACAGCCTAACCTGCTCTCCTTTGCATTCACTGTTGAGAAATCTTTTCTCTCTGTTGGGCTAAAGATGACAGCTGTCTTTAAACATGTGTTAAGTTTAAAAATAATTCACCTCATGCTTTTTGACATTTGCTTTAGATGGTACTGTCCTCAGGAAACTGTACAAACATCCAGAAAGGTACCTCATAATTTTTTTTTAAACATCTTTAACTTCTTCAATGACACTTGTTCAATAATAATTACAGTCTTAAGACTGTGGACATGATGAAATTATTACTGGTTACACAGATCTGACTGCTTCGTAATTTCATCATGGTCCCCATAATCTACCTCTGTCAGCATTGCACTTCAATATATACTTAAAACTTTAGGCATTACAAGGCAGATGCTATCTTGAAGCTCTGAGTTTTCAAGTACCTTGAATAAGTGGATCCTGATTGAAAACTGGGGGTTCAACACCTTGAGGAAATACAAATAATGAACAGAATCTGCAAACTGAGCTAGACAGGAAGTTTTTTTGCTAAGTATTATGAATTATATTAGCCAATTTGCTCCAGGACATATTGCTTCATAAAAGCTCCCTCACTGATGAGTACACATGAATTTCTCCATACAAAAATCTGGGAATCACACCCTCTTCTGTCCACAGTATCACAGATACTCCACTGAGTCATCAAACTCATAACACTGCACTTTGCTCTGCCTGTTTTCCTCTTTGTAAGAGCATATTCTTATTACACCGTGTACCTGTCCTGCTGTTTTTCACATTTATTTGCTGAACTCCAGTCATTATTGTCTCGGTGTTTGTATCACCTTTACTAATCAGCCACCCACAAAGCACTAGTACATTAGCATGCACATAGCTCTCTTCTCACGGAATCAATATGCTTGTTGCAGAATAGCTTTTTTATAAAGAGGTGTGTAATCACAGACCTAGAGGCACACTCATGGTGCCTGCTTTTTCTTGATATATCCCTGCAGGTTTACTACAACTTGCTGAAGTCAATGCACAAGAGAAGACCTACTTCTTTAGGCTGAAGGCTATTCTCCTCCACAATCTGTGCTTGTCCAACTGAAAACAGTGGCATTGCACTGATGCTGTAACAGAACTTGACCTTCTAGGATGAGTTAGGGTGAAGTGTTACTGCTTTTTTTAAGGGGAAATTTGGAATTGAGACCAACTTGTAAAATGACTGTAGCAGAATACTTAATGAGAGAGGTTCTTTTGTTGCCCTATTTTAGTTTCAGTTATCTTGATCTTCAGCCTCCCACAGCTGTTCAGTAAGGCAGAAAGTGGTATGTCAATGTGATAAACCGTGGGAGAGAGAGGAAAATGGGATTTCA